TATGTTATGACATCATATAGTGGCCAAAATCTGATCAGCTCATTTTCAGACAGGTTTTTATAGAAATGGATCAAAAAGAGAGAGGAATCTTTTTTCTTGAACCTTTCAGAATCTCTTTCCACAGAGTTGATGTAGAAGAGACATGAAGAAGTGGATTTTGCACAATAGGTGTCCTTTACGTTCACTAGTTATCTGGTATGCTCTGCTTGGTGGGCTACACACATTTGAAAACGGGTACACTGATGTGAAGTGGAGTCAGTGTTCCTGTCGTGTTGAACTTACTTTCCGAGGGCGCTGAAGGAGTGGCTGAAGGATTTGGCTGCCAGGTGGAGCAGAGTCTGCAGGAACACATCCACCTTCAGAGGGTTGAAGCTCTCGCCCTCATCTGAATTAGGAATAGAAACAAAACGATGCAAAGGATTTAGAGATTTTTGAGAAAAAGTCATAATTTTGAGATTTTTGACAAAAAAGTCTTAATTTTGAGGTTTTTGAGAAAAAGTCTTAATTTTTAGATTTTTCAGAAAAAAGTCTTAATTTTGAGGTTTTTGAGAAAAATCTAGAATGTTGAGATTTTTTGAAAAATCCAGAATTTTTAGATTTTCAGAAAAATCCAGAAATTTTTGATTTTTAGAAATATCCAGAATTTTGAAAAAATAGTCTTAATTTTGGAGATTTTTGAGAAAAAGTCAGAATTTTGAAAAAGTAGTCGTAAATTTAAGATTTTCAGAAAGATTCCATCAAATTCTCTTTTTTTGTTTTGTTACTTCCATTCTTGAGAGGATCATGGATCCTGATGTTGAAGCTCAAGCTTTTCTAACACGTTCCTCAAGAAGCACAGGTGCAGAGTGCTCAGAAAGCATTATGCAAGATGGAGGAAACTGAACTGAGACACTGACCGTCGTCGTCCTCCTGGTTGGGGTTGGGCACTTCTTTGAGGATGGCCAGGATCTCCTCGTTGGTCGCTCGGTTCTTGATGGCGTCTCCCACAGTGATGGATGCTGGGTAACCTGGTAACGAAGCTGTGAGGGAGCAGAGACATTCATTAGGTATCCAATCATATCTTAATTCAGGAAAGATCTGTAGAAACATGTGAGGTTGACAGAGGTAAGCAGATACATCTTTTAGACGCAGATGATACTACTGCTGAGTAAAATCTATGTTCTTACAGCTGCTCTCATCTGCGTATTTGTAAACAAAGATGTTTTCAGCGGGGATGAGAGCGGAGAAGGATGCAGGGACGATGTCCACGATCCTCTGATGGTAGGAGAGTCTGAAGAGAGGGGGGGAGACGACACATTTAGTTCTTTAGATTTAAAGATCAAAGAGAAAAAATATTGAAGGACTTCTTGGAGGCTTGAATTCATTAAAGCTGCATTAATACAGAAAATACAGCTTCTAAATGTACTTTAACTTAATGAGAGAAAGGGAACATTCACAATGCAAAAGGAATAATGTGTTGAAAAACCTTTAATACCTCATAGACTTCTCCAGAACTTCTTTGATGAACTTGGGCTTGGGCTTCTCTAGATCCATGGTCAGACAGTCAGACCTTCACAGAGGAAACAACACCGTCAACACAGCAGCCGATTATCACTGACAAAAACTCTAAAACTAACGAAAATTAAACTAAGCAGTCCAAAATATTCTCAGAAACTGAGCCTAAATAAGACCAATCCTTTAAGGAAATAAACTAAAGCTATCCTGCCTGGTGAAAACGGTTTGGGTGCATTTCAGTTTCTTTACCAAAAATACTGTCCAATACCGATAAAAGAAGACATCATGAATCTCAGTCACGGCCCGTCCACACGGCGGCGTGCGTTGAAGCTTCAACACTTCTGCCCATTCCCTTTGAATGGTGTGACGTCACGCTTTGCCGAACTGCATTGTGGTTCCGTTGCTTCGCTTTGCTCGCTTCAAAAGTTGAGAAAAGTTCTACTTTTGAAGCTTCGACAGAAGCGTCAGCCAATCAAATCATATGCCAGTACAAGCTCTAGCCAATCAAACCGCTTGCTTGTTTGTCCGGGGCGGGAGATTCATGTGATTGGTTGTTGGTCGAGTTTCAGACACGCCCACCGGCAAGCTTCAACGCACGCCGCCGTGTGGACGCTGCGTTAGAGCCCAAGGCATTGAACCACAGAGGTTTTCAGACTGTGGTGCTGAAAGAGGACTCAAGCTCTCTCCTAATCTAAATATTTAAACATGGTCATTCCTTCACAGTTCTCCAAACATACATTTATTATAGCTGGCTTGATCACAAACTAAAACTAATATATACAAAAACGTTATCTCAAACACAAATATCAAACACACTCTGAAAAAACACTTAAAGCATGTTACATGTCTATACTAAACTAGTATAACCTTGCGGCAAAAAATGTTGTCAATATAAAACAATCAGTAGCTGCTATAAAATAAAAGTTATTTCACTCACCAGTCGTCCCAGCTCCATCGAAACTGGAAGTTGCTCAAATGATGAGAAAACCAGTTGATTAGTCTGCAATGAAAAAGGAAAAGTAAGAGACGGGATCTGCTACTTCAGTTGTTCCCTCGTCAATGTAATTAGATGTTCAGTAGCTCACCGGTCTATGCAGCTGGTGTTCATGCTGTCCAGCCTCATGAACAGCATCTCTGTGGCTTGGGCCAACTACAGCAGGCGTTCAGGAAACAAGTCTTTAGAGTGGAGAAACACGTGTTCTTTACCTAATGC